GGTGCATGCCACCTGGTGGACTCACCTGAAGTAAAACCCAACATCCCAGTCTACTACTGCACTTCCTTGAGCTCACGGCGCGGTGAGAGGAGCATGGTCGTCGTCGATCATGCGTCCCGCGAGCTCCTGCCACTTGAACGCCCCGCGGGTTGTGGGATGGATGCGATTGTGCACGCGGTGACGGTCAGTCACTCCGATCCAGCAGCGCGATGCCTGGAACGAATACCTTTGAAAGGGCCTTCACGCTGGCAGCGGACGCCGCCTTCGAGGCCATCGGGACTTGCCGTTGGTCGCTCTCGGTCACGTCCTCCTCCAGGGTGTCTCCGTTCTCTCGAAGTGCCAGCTGTAGGTGGTACAGAACCGTTCGGAACAGGGCGTTGGGGCGTTTGCCCTGTGGGCGCCCCTTGCACACCTCGTCCGCGTCCGCGGCCGCCGCCGCGGCGGTCTTGCCCTCGGGTTCGTAGGACTCCACCGCGCGGTCCATGCTCAGCCTCATCTTGGCCTTGCTCTCGAACTCAGGGACCTGCGGCAAGGTGCTCTCGGCCACGTCCTCCTCCACGGCGGCGTTGTGGGCGCCAAGCACCAACTGTAGGTAATCTATGGGGGCGATGGCGTGGTGCACGGCGTCGGTGTCTTTGGGAGTCGCATAGTGAAGTGTCGGCCCACATGTACAGAAGCCCCGGCGATCATATGGTCCCGAGAGGGGCCCATGGCCAGCGGGGTCTCACGGAGGAACCTTGCAGAATCTCGGGGGCCCGTGTTGTGCGAGGTAGCGATGTGGTCGATCTTTGTCTCACCCTGGCCATCGGGGTACTTCCATGCAGCGCTGCGCCCTGCTGCTGGTCCAAAGGCGTTGAGGGCTCGCTTGTAATCCTGGGAGAGGATGCCATGCAGGCGCCGTCCCTTGTCGGCCCACTGTGGTTGGTACTTGCTCCACGAGCTGGCAAGTCCCACTTCATGTAGTAACGGTGCACATCGAGAAGGAGCACAACCCAAGGCTCGATTCACATTGTCGAACAACTCATCGTTCTCGCGTCGGCATACTGCGTGGGCAGCCGCCGTGATAGGTCGTGCTTGGGGCGTGCGGCTTGCGTTTCATGCGTATGCCCACCAGTTGTCCCAGCTGCCACCGCTGTGTAACTGTGATACCTTCCCGTGAAGCAATCCGCGTGGACTCTAGCCGTGGGGAAGGCGTGATGATGTAGTCGGGGTGATCCCAGATCTGAGCTTCAGGCGAGTAAGTTGTGTCGCCGTCTGAGGTAACCACATAGCGTGAGCGTGCCGCATCGTCCTGGCCTTCATGCAGGTCGACCTCAGGCCACGCCCGCCCTCTGGCGAGCATAGCACGGCGGGCGCGGTGATAGCTCCATATGCTGTGCACTGGCTCGCTCCCGTCATAGTAGTCATCCTGCGACGCGGAGCTCCACTGCGGTCGTGCCGCCACCGAACGCTCGGCCCTCCAGTGTAGTGAACTTCGGCTAGCGATGGCGCGCAGAAGAGAAACGAAACATGACCAGTCCCGCCATCGACTGATGATCATGCTGCGCGGGGGCCTGCGACCCCGCAGACAAGAGAAATGACGCCAGAATCGCTCGAGCCAGGGCCTTGAGAAGGCGTCTCCCGCCATCCGCCAAGCGATCGACCTTGCTCAACCGGCAGCCAGTTGTCCCTCGCGTCTTATTGCTTTGCTTGTTCCATATTCAGTGTTGCTAGGAAGCTCCCATCACCTTCTCGTTCCGAAAAGGCGTTTCCCGTCATCCGCTAAGCCATCGACCTCTTACTACCGGCAGCCAGTTGTCCACCGCGTCTTATTTGTTGTTCATACCTTCTACAGTCTTGCTAGAAAGTTCCGATCACCTTCTCGTTCCGAGAAGGCGCTTCCCGTCATCGGCCAAGCGATGAACCTTTACGGCCGGCAGCCAGTTGCCCTTCGCGTCGTAGTTTTTGAATTCATAGTTTCTTCAGTAATGCTCGAGACCTCCCATCACCCTCTCGTTCTGGGAAGGCGCTTCCCGTCATCCGCCAGCGTGGGTGCCCAATGCAATCCGTCACCAGAAGAACAGTTTTTACCACCGACAGACGGTCCACCGTGCCAGCGACTTGCTTTGCGTGACGATTCCCAACGCGGATGCATGCGACACCTAGCGTCTCCAGTGTTTCTGAAGCTGCTCCCTCCTGGGGCTTGTTTAGGCAGCTTTGGGGCCATCTTGAGCTCTTGTGGGGCAGTCTTGATGGTCTCTTGGGGGCCTCTTTGGCTATCTTCGGGCCCGGTTTGGGGCGTCTTGGGGTTTTCGTGGCCGTCTAGGGTGTCTCGGGGCCGTCGTGAGGCCACATTTGGGCATTCTTGGGCCGTCTAGGGGCCCTCTCAGACTGTGATAGGTCCCTTCTGATTTGGGACCATCCTGGGCCGTCTGTTTGGGGCTCTCGACGGGTTTTTTGGGGCCATCGGAGACCGCAAGTGGACCACTCTTCGACCGAAGAGTGTGCGAAGCGAAGCACATTCAAACGCCATATGGAAATACATGCTTTTGGGGTGTGTAGGCCGGTTGGATCCTCTTGGGACGTACTGGGCGCTTCTTAGGGTGTCTGGGGTGCGTCTTGATGCACTGGAAGTCTTCCTTGGCCGTATTGGTAGGCTCGGAGTGCCAGCGCACACCGTGGAGCGTGCTGAGCGTGAGCGGCTCCTCAAAAACATACGGAGCCCTACCAGTCAAGCAGTGGCGAAGCGTCCTGGCTCGCCTATAGCCCATAGCCCTACCAAACAATGCTCTGAGAACCTTTTGTGCTTCCCACGAAATGTTCTTAGAACATTTCCGGTTGGGACTGCCTTGTTTTATCACATCGGGTTTATGTTCTAAGAGCATCGCTTTTGTTCTTAGAACATTCTGGGGTTCTAAGAACATGTCGTGGTAGGACTATAGGAATGCCAGGGCGGTCGGTCCCTGCTCAAACCAGGCGGGACTTGGCATTCTCCCGTGCCCCGTCGTGCCAAGAGGCACGTGGGTGGATTTCGGGACCCGAGCAGAGCTGCAGGGGTGCATCAACGATGTGCACAGGATGTCGAGGCTGCTGTCTCAGATGTATGGCTTCCCCACCTCGCCGGACGCCCAGCTGATCCTGACGGACGACAGGCGCGGCAGAGAGGCGCCCACCCGGGCGAACATCGTTGGCGGGCTCCGCTGGCTCGTGGAAGGCGCGCTGCCGGGGGACTGCCTGTTCTTCCACTACTCCGGGCACGGCGCCCAGCAGGAGGACCCCACCTACATGGAGGAGGACGGCTACGACGAGACGATTTGCCCCTGCGACTTCGAGTCCGCCGGGATGATAGTGGACACAGAGATTTTCGACATTGTCGTGGCCTCCCTGCCCGCCGGGGTGAAGCTCACGGCGGTCATGGACTGCTGCCACAGCGGCACCGGGCTGGACCTTCCTTTTGAGCTGCGGTACGGCAGTTGGACAGAGGAGGACAATCCTTGCCACAGCGAAGCAGATGTGGTGCTTATCCAGGTGCCTGCGGCAAGCCGCTCCACCGCGCCCGCCCTGCAACCCAGCCGAGTGCGTGCCGGAGTCAACCGAGCCTCCCTGAGCGCTGTTAACTGCGCGATTGTCGCCGCTGGCTTGATACCCTTCAGATGACCTGCGGAGCTGGGTCCTTTCGCAGACCCAAACGACACCTCGCCATGCCTGGGTGCTGCTAACTCTGCAATTATCATCACTGTCGTGAGCTCCTTGGGGGTCCTGCAGCCTGCGTAGTGCGGGCCTACACAGACTCAAACGAGCGCAAGCGTCGCCTTTTTCGTGAGGTCCTAGTTGGTCCAGAGGAGTGCGGTCCTACGCATCACCAAATGAGATCTCACCCTTCCTGGACGCTGCCAACCGCGAGACTGCCGGCATGTTCGTGGGCTCCCGTTGGGTGCAGCGGAGTGTGTTTCTACGAAGACGGGAACGAGAGTTCACCTTCCTTGTACGCTGCTAGCCGCACTGCCCCGCGACCGTGTCCTTTGGCCCAGCGATCGTTCTTCGGATCCACAGGAACACCATCCAGCCGACCCGAAAGCGTTACCATGCTGCAGGCTCAGTTGGCGTCATTTGGACCCGCAGAAACACCATCCAGGTGTTCGAAACACGTTTTGTTGATGTTGGCTTTGGAACTCCCTTTGGAACCAGAGGGGCACTTTCCATGTGACTAGAAGTGAACCCTCCATTTTGGCCTAACGGTCGTCCTCTGGACAGTCAAGCGCCACCCATGAGGCGCATTTTTACGGAAGAAATGCTGAGCGACTTGACAAATGTTTGTCCACAAGGGGGCATTATTCTCCAAATAGCGTTCCGATGCGGCCGTCGGTGTGCTGCGCTTTGTGGTGTCGGAACGCATGCGTAGTTCACGAGGAGGGCATGCTCGCCGACCTCCCCATCATCTATTCACGCCTTGTCTCCTTCTCGCTGTCGACCGTATGTCTCTCCTTCCATGTCCTCATCCTTGGCCTCGCCTCATACAGGTTCCGTGGGCCCGTAAGCTTGTAGATGTGCTGGGCACGTCTTTGAGTAATTTACCTCGCTGGGTGGGCAGGAGGCCTCCTGGAGCGTCTACGGGGAGCACGTTAAAGCCTCGCGGGACATGTTCGGGACATCTCAACCACATGGGGGTTCGCTGGGTTGCTCGCTGGGGGTTTGCCATGGGGGCATCTTAACGCCACCTTGGTCTTCTCGATTCTTTCAACCGTTTTGGGGGGCGACCTTTGGCTGGCTGGGAGCCGCCTAGATGCCGAAAAAGGCTCCGGGAAGGAATTCTCATCAGGAGGCTGGTTGGTCTTTGGGAACTCTCACTACCAGGGGACCAGGGGGGTGGGCTCGAGCAAATCTAGAAACCTGGCCAGATAACCAACCAGCACTCTAACACCCCACCATTCGCGCAGGCGCGGAGGCGAATCTCAGGCTGCCAGGACAGCCAGACCAGCGCAGACTGTGGCGGGAGCAGCTACAGCAGGCCCTGCGGGGCCATGACCACTGCTCTTTGCAACACGCTGGAACGGACCAGGACACCGACCCACGCCGAGCTGCTGACGGGGCTGCGAGGCGAGCTGCGCAGTGGCGGCTTCGACCAGGTGCCCAGCCTCACGTCCTCGCAGCGGTTCGACCCGAACAAGCCGTTCTCCCTTTGCGACCACATTGAGGGCAATTCGAACCAGGCTCGCCAGCGAAAACGGATACCGTGCCTTGGACCTCCCTGGCGTGCGAGGCTAGTGTGCGTTCCGGGCATCCTCTCCGGATGCCTGGCTTACCATCGGGGGGGAGGTTTCCAGTTACGTACGCCAGGCAAGGGACGGTCTCCCGATTTCGTTGTCTTTCAGTTGTTGGGACGTCATTTCCGCAAGCGCAAGCACCCACAGAGAGCAGGTGCCTTAGGAAGCCTTGTTCAGCAGACCTTGTTCTGATCGCAGGGAGTTATTGTTGCTTGACTGTTGGACTTGCTGGCGCATCGTTTTATGATACCGCTTTGGCTGTTGTCTACCGCCCACAGCGTGCGATCCCGCACATGTGACATACGATCTCTTTGCACAGCTGTACCTGGTGGTGTCCCCGTTGATTTCCGATGAAGTCGCGATGCTGATTCGAATGATGTTCAATGACGCTAGAGAAAGCACAACATGTGCATGTTCTGAAATTGTGGCAGGCCCACGCCTTCTCTCTCTCTCTCTCTCCCTCTCTCCCTGTGTGTCTCTATACCATGTAAACGTGATTTGCCCTTTCAACTTGCTCTGCGCCAGAACTATATACGATCCAACCTCTACTTCATATCGCTCTCGTTTTTTTATCAGCTCTACTCAACTCTCCGGTCTGTGCTCCCTCGTCTGTACCATCTATTCAAGACGCTTACATCATTCTGCCGACCACCAGAGAGGCGGGGCGTCCACGGTTGAGACGTTGTGGGTTTCTTGGGCATTATGTGGAGGCTCCCATGGGCATGTCGGGAGCTGCTTGGGGGCCTGGTTGAGCCTGTTAGGATGCATTTTTGAACCATCTCGGTGGCAGTTTGGGGGTTCTTGGGGCCTTGGGCCGCTTGGGGGCTTCTTTGAGCTTCTGGGAGGCCTCTTGGGACGGACATGTAAGATTGCGAAGGCCTTACGGCCAGTGCCGCCGACCCTGGAGGGCGACCCATGCGTTCTCTAATGTGGCGGGGAGGGCCTCTTGGGGCTTCCTGGGGGCCTCTTGGGGGTCTCGTGGTGGCCTCTTGGGGGCATCTTGGGGCTTCCTGGGAGCCTCTGTCGCCGAGGGCTCGTCGGGCCCCCCGTCTGGGCACCCTGTTGGAGCCGTTTGGGGAGCCTCTGGGGCCATCTTGGAGGCATCTTGGGCGGTCTTGAGGCTCTCTTGGGTCATTTTGGGGCTCTGTTGAGGCCTCTTGGGCTATCTTGGGGCAATCTTGGGGGCATCTGGGGCCGTCTTGGAGCGTCGGCAAGTTGAAACGGCGAGAACGCCAAACTCTGTCAAAAAATTAAGAAAATCATGGATGTTTCCCTCTTCGTGCCCTCTTGGGAGTGCTCTTGGAGACTTCTTGGATCGTCTTGGCAATCTCTTGGGCCGTCTGGAGGCTACTTTGGCGTCTTCGAATGGTTCGGCGATTCGGTGCCCTCTGGAGCCGTCTTGGAAGCCTCTTGGGGCACTCTTGGCCAGTCTGGAGGCTTTTCTAGGTCCCGGGACATCCTGGGGGGGATGCGTATCTGCTCCCCCCCCCCCCCCGGGACCCTCCCCCCCGGGACCCCCCCCCGGGACCCCCCCCCGGCGGGGAAGGGATGAAAGGGAAGGGGCTTCCCTTCGACTCAGCTACGACGTTGCTCAATTTCGCTTTGCCTTCGACTCAGCTACGACGTTGCTCGATTTCGCTTTGGTTTCGCTTTGGCTGGCGCGCCTGAGGGGAGGGCGACGACGACGACGACGACGACGACGACGACGACGACGGAAGAGCATCGACGACGACGACGACGACGACGACGACGACGACGACGACGACGACGACGACGACGGCGACGACGGCGACGACGGCGACGGCGACGGCGACGGCGACGACGTTCACGACGAACGGAAAAGCATCTTCCACACGCCGACGTTGTCGGCGGATTTTCGGTTTGTGTTCTCTCTCTTGGTTTCTCTCGGGGCCCTCTGGGGGCGATCTTTGGCCGTCTTGGGCCTAGGGCCCCTCTTGTAGGGGCCGTCTTAGATCCCACATGGGTCGTCCTCGGGCCCTCGTGGGGGCCTCTTGGGCAGTTATGGGGCGGTCTACGGGTCTACGGGGTCTCTTGTGCCGTCTTGGACGGTGGGAAGCTCGAGGATGATGACCCTAGGATTTTTGCTTTTCGGGGCCCTCTTGGGAAGGCCCTTGGGCCTCTCTTCGGGCGTCTCGAAGGCGTCTCGAAGGGGTCTTGGATCCATCGTAGGCGTCTTGTGCCAATCTTTCGGTGATTCGGAACCGTCTTGGAAAGTCTTCGAGGCCACGGAAGGCAGATTTGGATGCCCTGGAGTCTCCAGGGAGGCGCCCGGGTGCTCGATCGCGCCCCCACCCCTCTCTTGAACGAGAGTTGGAGCCCTGGGGGGGGAGAAAGGGCAAGGGGGGGCAGCTAATCATGTCACACGCCTTCTCACCCCTGGCAAGGGGGGGTCGGCGGACTCTCTGTGTCTCTTTCTCTCTATCTCTGACGGTATCGACATCAATGCGCACGTACGTAGCACCCCGCACTTGCGGACAAGAGAGAGAGGGAAGCGTGGAATGCTTGTGGGTCGCGGGTGGGACGTGGGCTGGGTCGCGGGGTGGGTCGCGGGTGAGGACGACGACACCAACAATCAACAACATCTCACAAACCAATAAACAAGCAGGATCCTTGCCGCGGAATCTCATTACAGCCGCGCACCCAGGGGACAACGACCGACTGACCGTTCGGCCCCGCCCCCTCATTGCAATACTGCCGTTGCCGCAAATATTCTCTCTGTTATGTCGGCACCCCCTTCACACGCTTCGTGGCCCCATGGGAAGTTCCACCGAAAGCGGTGCCCACAACATGGTATTCACAATTGCATATGGCTGGGTCATTCGCCTGGGTTTTTAGTGTGTCATGATTTGCGATAGTGGTGTTTTCCCGATGCTGTTCCGACGCTGCCCTGGTGGTTGTCCCGACTGCGTTTTCGATGGTGTCCAGATGTCGGCTGATCGATCCTTGAGATTCCCTCATCGTGTCCCCATGTATTTGGGACGGTGTCCCGATATGTGCACCGATTGACTTACCAAAGGTGTCCCGATGATATCTCGATTGGAATTCGATAGTGTCTAGGGTTTCCAAGAGAATGTCCCGTTTAATCGTTCAGAGGTGTTCCGATGGTGTCCAGCCGCGTACTGGTTCCAGTCAGGTCATGGCATACATTCAATCGGCACAGTGGTGGAGGATACGTGGAATTGATGTATCAACCATCTCGCCACCCTCCAGTCTCTTTCTCGGCTGCAAGGCGGTCTACTAGATTGGCATCTCATCTTATGACTGTACTGACGGCGGGGGCTAACCCTCTTTCGTATATTATTCGTCAGAAGCGGCTATCGTTTTCGGGGCGCGAGGTCCTTGTGGAGCCACGCGCAGACAATTCGCACCAGGCTTCGGATCGACAAAGAGGGTGAGGAGCCATGCCCGATACGTTGCCGATGTATTCGCTCTCCGTTTGGCATTCGGAAGCGTCGCTCTCGGCCGGCGAGCCTCGCGGGAGGAAATCCCAGCAGGCTCAGGAAGGAGAATTCCGGAACGCTCTCAGCTCGTTCCAGATCGCTCTGGAACGGCCGCGGCGCCCGATGCATCCTCCAGATTCGTCGGCTCTCAGAAATCTTCGATCTCATTTTGATGTTGCACTATTCCTGCCGACCTTGCCCAGCTGCGTTCCTCGATCGGTCCGAGAAGTCATCTCCCAGCAGCCGCCGCGGCCGCGCCACAAGCCCCTCGGCAGAGAGCGCCGAGGCGAATCTGCTGCAGGGCGGGCTCGGCGACATGCTGATGGAAGGAGCCGTGGGGTCGTCTGCAAGCGCGGCCGGGAGGGGTGCTGGCAGAGAGGCCCTGGTCGAGGGGGCAGGAGTCCTGGAGGCTCGATGTGCGGTCAGGGATGTAGGCGGTGCAGTCCACGCGCCTGGTAAGGGCGCGCGCCTTCATCTAGGGTACCCTTGGTGTCCTTGCCTCTGGGGCCCGTCCTTTGCCGTTTTCACTGGCCGCGCGTCGCCCCCCAGAAATCCACTTCGGCCCCCAAGGGGTCCTGCATCCTTACCAGCCGTCCTTAACATGCGTTTTGACTGTAGGTCCGCCCTGTTGCGCGGCCGACCCTGGGCCAGTCTCCATGTCTCCTCCTGCCCATGGCTCGAGCCAAACTGCGTTTTGGCGATTTCGTGGGCCGGTTTTGTTTCCATTTCGCTTCGCAGCAAAGGCAGAACGAAGACAGAACGACAACGAAATCATCACGAACAAGAAGAACACCGTTTAGCTCACGCCCCGTCTCTGCCCGTGCTGCTCCGTGGTGCTCCGTGCCGCTCAGCGCGCCGCCCCCCCCGCCCCAGCCTTGCTCGGCGCTGCTCTGTGAGCCCCCCTGGGGACCAGAGAGCCGCTGGCCTCCAGAGGGGGCTCGCTTCTCCCCGGGTCCGGCCTGGACGCGGCTCACCGCGGGGCGCAGCCCGGGGCCCGGAGGGCGGCCGCGCTCCCCCCTCGGGGCTCACGAGGCGAGCGGGGGTCAGTCAGAGCGCTGGATCTTGCAGGATCCTGCAGAGCCAAGGTCGCATCGACGCGTGGGTGCAGGATCTTGCAGAGCCTGACTGACCCGGGTCTGGATTGGCCCGGGTTCGTAGATCCCAGGGGCCCTCATGGCAGAGCTCTGGCCGTGCTCGCTCCCCCACCCGTCGGGGCGGGGCCGCGCGCTGGAGGGCCCCCGTGGGGGACGGCCTCCCCGGGCTGCGGCTGCTCACCCGGGGCCGCCCCTCGGTGCGCGCGGGGTGGCCCCAGGCCTCCCAGATGGGGTCGGAGCAGCTGGGATCGAAGGATCGCTCGGAATTGGCGATGCATCGACGGTGCGGCTCCATGTGGAGCTGGAGTTCCTCCAAGCCGGTGGCGCCGATGCCTCGCCGACGTCGGCGATGCGTCGCCGATGCATCGCCGATGCACTGGCGATGCATTGGCGATGCGGCGCGATCCTCCGACTCCACCTGCTCCGACCCCATCTGAGAGGCCTCTAGTGACCTCGCCCTCTCCGCCAGCCCCGCCGCTGGAAAACCTCTGCTGCACGCGGTCCGTTCCCGGTGCAGCGCCTTCCCGCGTCGCATTCGCTCGCCCCTGGCCGCCTGAGGGATGGGGTCCTCAGGGTAGGAAGGGGTCCAAGGCTGGATCTGCATTGTTTGAGGCACCTCTCAGAGCGTGAATTACCTCCCCCGCTTTCGCTTCCAGGCAAAACCAAGTCGTACCACGCGCCTCCTCGTCAAGCGGCCTGACCAGTACAGGCTGCAATTTGGCATCGTTTGGTATCTCTTGGAAGCGAGGGTGGTCAAAAGCGAGGGAGGTTTGTTTTCCCCCTAACCTCGTCCTCAGGACCCCATCCTTCAGGACCCCGTCTTTGAACCACCGACCTCGGTGCGCGCAGGGTGGCTCTGCCCTCCCCTGTTTGAGGCACCTCGTCCTCAGGATCCCATCCTTCAGGCCCCCATCTCTGAACCACCGACCTCGCTGCGCGCAGGGTGGCTCTGCCCTCCCCGCCCGTCCCGCTGCCGGCACCTGCTGCACGCGGTCAGTTCCCCGTGCAGCGCTCTGGCCAGCCGGCCTCGCGCTCCCGGATGTGCCCCAGGGGTTGCCGAAGCGAGGGCCGCTGGATACTCTGGAAATCTCGAAGCGCATCCTGAGCCAGTCCTACCGATGATCCTCATGACGTGCGTCAGCCCAAGCGCGTGCTTACCCCATTTGGCTTCGCCGATAGCGCGCAGCCTGTGTCGGCCCTCGTTGCGCCGCCTGCGTCGTGTCGACGCGCCTCAGTGGGCAAGCACACGTTGGCGCTAACACACTTTCTCGATTCCATCCTGACACTATTCCCGTCCTGGCGGGGAGCGCGTCCCCGGACTCCCGCCCAGCACCGTGGTGGGGGCAGCCGCCCTTCAGGGGCCATCGGCTTCATGGTCGCCGACATGGCGGGCGACGCCCTCGGCGGCCTCCTCATGGGCGGCGGCGACGACGGCGGCCTCTTCGAGGCGCCTCGAGGGCTGCGGCACTGGGCCGGTGCTCAGAGTCGTCAGATTCGGGCGAATGGGTCCTTGGGAAAAGGGCTTTTAAAATGTATGCAATAGTTCGAAGAATCGTTCGTGCTGGATCGTGCTGGGTGCGGGCAGCATGCGTTGCATTTGGCATCGTCGGTCCGTGAGAGAGGCCAGGCGCCGTGAGCCCCGGGATGAAATATTGCATGTACTTGGGCGAACCCAGTACGAAAGAACCACCCTTGCCCGGAGCCAAAGTCGGTGGCTCAAAGATGGGGTCCTGAGGGAAGGGTCCTGAGGATGGGAAGGGATCCCAGGGTGGATTTGCATTGCCTGAGGCGCCCTGTCCTCAGGACCCCATCTGCGAATCCGACCGCGAGTGGAGCATGAGCTTTATCTCTGCCCGCTGCAGCGATCGAGGGCACTCGCGCTTCCTCAGGGCAGCGGGCCTATCTGATCAGCAGTGGCTGTGGAACACAGGCACGCATACACATGAAAATTAAGGATGTCAGCCTCGTCGGGCCCTCCTGGAGGACCTCTCGGAGACCTCTTGGGCCGTCTTGGAGGCCTCTTGGGCAACTCTTGGGCAGTCTTGGGCGGTCATGGAGGCTTCTTGGGCGGGCTTGGAAGTATCTTGGACCCTCTTGGGCCGTCTTGCAAGCCATCTTGGCCATCTTGGAGGCATCTTGGAGGCCAGCTGGGGCCATCTTGGAGCCGACTGGAGCAGGAAACACCTTTGCAACCATCTCTTACGATCCCTTCCGGGGCCTTCCGGTGGGCCAGCGGGCTGGGCCTGAGCCCCAGGGGAGAGTTCTTTGGGAAAAAGGACCAAACCCAAATTGAAAGGGTCCAGCACGCCAGGCACCCCTGTGACAAGCATAGGGGGCGGCGGATCGAAGACGCCTACGGCGAATCACCGCCGCCCCCTGCCCTTGGGAAGCGCCTCTGTGGCCGACAGCTGGGCCAGAGCTTGGCCAAGCTATCGTGCCAGTTGTTCCCCGAGTCGGTTTGGAAAGACTTAGGGGAACGCATGGGGGAGCAAGAAGAAGAGGCGGGGGAGGATGAGGAGAGAAGAGGCGGAGGAGGAGGAGGAGGAGGAGGAGGAGGAGGAGGAGGAGGGAGGGGGAGGGGGGAGGGGGAGGGGGAGGGGGAGGGGGAGGGGGGGGAGGGGGAGGGGGAGGGGGAGGAGGGGAGGGGAGGGAGGAGGAGGAGAGGAGGAGGAGGAGGAGGAGGAGAGGAGGAGGGAGGGAGGGCGCCTCTTGGGACACTCTTGGGGCCTCCTGGGAGCTTCCTGGGGGCCTCTTGGAGGGTTTTTGGAGGGTTTGGGGGGCTTCTTGGGGGCCTCTTTGGCCGTCTCAGGGCGTTCCTGGCTTTTCTGACGCCGTCGGAAGCCGTCTTGGGGGCCTGTCTGGGTCGTTTTGGGGCCCTCTTGGGGCATATCAGGGGTTCTTAGAGGCCATCTTGGGCGTCTCGGAGGCCTCTTGAGCCGTTTTGTGGCCCTCTGGGGGGCCTCTTGGGAGCCTTTTGGGCCGTCATGGGGCCATCTTGGAGGCCTCCTGGGCGATCTTGGGGGCCTCTTGCGCCGTCTTGAGCCGTAGGAATGCCGAGAAGAAGCAAATGCCACAATCATTCACAACTTTTGGGGGCCTCTTGGGCCGTCTTGGGTCATCTTGAGGCCATCTTAGGCCGTCTTGGGTGCATCTTGGGCCGTCTTGGAGTCATCTTGTGGCCATCGTAGCCGTCTTGGAGGCCTCTTGGGCCGTCATGGGGCCCTCTTGGAGGCCGCGTGGGCGATCTTGGTGGCCTCTTGGGCCATCTTGAGCCGTCGGAATGCCGAGAAGAGGCAAGTGCCAAAATCCTTCAACAACCGAAGACAAATCAATGATTTTGGCCTCTTCGGGCCCTCCTGGAGGACCTCTTGGAGATCTCTTGGGCCGTCTTGGAGGCTTCTTGGGTGAACTTGGAGGTATCTTGGACCCTCTTGGGCCGTCTTGGAGGCAATCTTGGACCATCTTTGGCGGACTTGGAGGCCATCTTGGACCATTTTGGGCCGACGTGGCTTTCTTGGAGGCCATCTTGGACCGTCTTGGAGGATTTTTCGGGGAATTAGCTCCTTGACGATCGTCCCGGGACCCCAGCGGGACGCGCCGGAGCCCCAGGGGGAGTTCTTTTGGAAAAGAACCAAACCCAAAGCCGAAACGGTTCAGCACGCCAGGCAACCTTGTGATGAATCAACAGGGGGCGGCGGATTCTACTGGTCTTCGGTCCATCGCGCCACCGTGCCTGGGTTGTGGGTCTGAGGCCTCTTGTGTGTGTTGGGGTGTCGTCCTCTCGGGGGCTTCTTGGAAGCGGTTTGGGCGCTTCTTGGGGGCCTCGTGGGGCATCTTTTTGGGTCTCTTGGTAGCCTTTTGGCCACGTCTGGGGCGCTTCTTGGGGCCTCTTGGCGGCCTCTGGAGGCCTCCTGGGGGCTTCTCCGAGCACGAATGTAGAATTTTCGGTTCGTGGTCCACTGCTTGGGCTCTGGGCCGTCTGGGGGCCCTCTTGGGCCGTCTTGAGCGCTTCTTGGGCCATCATGCAGCCCTCTTGGGCCTTGGGCCGTCTTGGGGCCCTTTGGGTGGCCCCTTCGGCTGTCTTGGGGCGGTCTTGGGAGCTCCTTGAGCCGCCTTGGAGCGTCGGAAGCCTCAAAATGCAAGAAGGTCACAATTCTTCGAACACCTTTGTAACAACCACGGTTTGTCTTCTTAGGGCTCTCTCGGGCGGCCTGTTGGAGCGCTCTTGGGGCCTCCTTGGGCCGTCTTGAAACCATCTTCGGGCGCCTTAGAGCACTCTGGGCCTGCGCAGTGCAAATACGGAGTACTTTGCAAAGAATTTATGGCTTCGGGGACGCGTAAATCGAACTATTTACAAGGGTTCGTTGCCTCGGGGACGCTCAAACGATATAATTTACAAGGATTTGTGGCCTCGGGGGTGCGAGCACTGCGCACTGCGTAATTTACCAGGGATCACGTGTCCCACTCCCCCCTGGGAATTCAGAGCACGCGATCCGGGCTTGGTAAATTGGGCGGTTTGGGGCTTCCCCTTTCGCGCGGACCTCAACGATTTACAGTAGGAAACAGAAAGCAGGATTATAACATTTACGGGAGCAGCACACTTCGGCCCACAGCCTGGTGGCCGCACAAGGGGGCCGCCGGATCTCTATGTTGATGCTGAGGCAGGCCCTCCCCGATGGGCACGCGCACCCTGCGTGTGACGCTGGTGACGGCTCAGCTCACAGTGTCCGCCCGGGTTGGCCGCGCACTTCCATCGCGCGCGCCAGGGTTGTGGTCAAGAGAAGGAGGAGGATGAGAGGAGACGGAGGTCGTCCTCCTTCCCTCCTTCTCCGTCCCTCCTTCTCCGTCTCCTCCTTCTCCTCCTCCTAATCCTCCTCCTCCTTCCTTCTATTCCTCCTCCGACTTCCCCTCCTCCTCCTCCTCCTCCTCCTCCTCCTCCTCCTCCTCCTCCTCCTCCTCCTCTTATTTCTCTCTCTCTCTCTCCTCTTCCTCCTCCTCCTCCTCCTCCTCCTCCTCCTCCTCCTCCTCCTCCTCCTCCCCCCTCCTCCTCCCCCCCCTCTTCCTCCTCCTCCCCCCCCTCCTCCTCTTCCTCCTCCCATTCCTTCCGTGGCCATTTTGGCTCAAGCTCGAAACGTACGTCCTTGGCGCTTCGAACTTGGACGCTGCCGAGGGGTGGCCCAAAGCGTCCTGTCCGATGTTAGGCCCCGCTCTTCACCAGTCGTGCGCCCAAGCACGCGGCATGACGGCATTCTGCCCCATCTGTTGTGCTCCTGCATCACTCAGCCATGGTGTCTGCGGCTGAGACCCAAACGATGTTGAACGGGGTGCAAGATACGACGTGTGCGAACATCGACGTCTTGCGCGACACGCTTCGGTCTGAGGTGATGACCATCAACAGAAGGATTGACGAGTCCGCTGCTCAGCAGGCCACACTCGTGACGAATATCGACCAGCACATATAAAAACGCTGCAGGACCAAACGCTGCAGCCACTGGGCTTTCGGGTCACAAGCGGCAAAGGCTGTAATAAGGCGAGCGTGGACAACAATATTCTGATGGATGTTGAAGGTGGGTGGGCACATGGCCCCGACCCGTGTTTGCCAAAGTACGAGAGGAGTTTCACCAGTCCCTGGTTGCTAACTAAGTTCGCCACGCTCGCTGGCTCGACGGCCGCATGCCACGCAGCCGCGCAGAGGTACAATCTCACTTTCCCAAGTGAGGCCCCAGCGAAGGCCTTCAGCACGGAGGTCGCGGCGCAGCCTCTCGTTCGGACCGACCCGAGGACGAACCAGGTAACCACTTTCAGAGTGCGAGGGGACCTACCAATCGATGCGAGGACGAAGCAGCGTGCCTTCGCCAAGGTCTACACTGATGTGCACACGATCGGCCAAGCCAATGACGCGGTGGACCAAGCCACGAAGCTTGGAGCCAACGAGCTCAAGGACGTGATGACCACCGCCACGGCTGACGACGCGCGGGAAAATACCCAAGACAATTCCTGAAGGAGCTGGCGAATTTCGGTTCGAACCAGATGCGGCAGCATTTCGGTTGTGGGGACTGGATGCGCGTAGTGTCCACGATACCATCATGAAAGCAACCGCTGCGGTTGCTCTCGAGTGACAAACTGTTTCAATGATTCAGAGTGTGACATGCCCGACCCCTGTCCAATTCGTTCCACTTGCTCATCGGCGCAGCGATGCCCCTCCGCCCCCCCTCTTCCGCCGCTCCTGTTCCCCCCGAAGGCGGCCCTCATGGAGCGAATCAGTTCCTGCCCGTGCCTGGCCGCTCGTTCAGCATTTCAGCGCGCTGCGACGTCGAGGGGTCAGGCCAAGTTCAAGGGTCTCCAGAGAGTTCTGGAACATCACAGTCTGGCGTGCGCTCAGGAGTCCCATGGGGCCGCTGGGTACTTGGAAACCATCCATGGGGAGTTGCCCAGGACTAGAGCCTC